ATTGACGTCTATCATGATCTTTAAGCAAAGACATTCTTACTACAGAAGTTGGTCTACCTTCTAAAGCTGCTCGGTAGATTTCTTTATCCTCTACTTCTGTCATGTTTTTAAATGCAAGAGCAAATGCGTTTTCTTGATTGAATAAAGTTTGCAAGAGCTGCATTAACTTATACATACAACCATAATTACCAGGTTATTCCATTCTGTATACATCACATTTTATGAATACACCAACTACCAACAAATTTAATTTATGTGTTTCATCATGACAGTACATTAATCTACTGGTAAGAACAACATTCTTGCTCTCAACAAAGTCAAGTCACATTATAGCAAAGTACACCACTTGGCTAGCAAGGTCAACACTCTTTCTGTAAAGTAAGCCAAGTCACAACAATTTGAAACTATGCAAACAACATAAAAACAACTTACAAACTAAAAAAACATAACATTACATCACAAACATACCCAGTGAGCACTGAACCTAAAATAGACGTCTTTTAATCGTTCAAAACACACCCAAACGTTCAAAAGACGTTTAAAAGACGTCCAAAACGTGTATAAGACAATTAAAAGACGTCTTTTTTATTTCCATGCCCACTGGGTAGAAATACTTCATATATAAAAGATATTTACACACTTACAAAATATAAACTCATATAACCTTAACACATATAAAAACAAAATAAATAACACATATATTACCCAGTAAACGTACAAACGTTTATTAAACGTATAAACAAGGTTTCGACAAAACGTATAGATTTGGTCGATTATCCGTTTAGAATGAAATCCAGATTAACGTTTAGAACAAACGTCCATGAAACGTCTTGAAATTTAATTCAAACGTGTTTTAGACGTCAATTATAGGATATAAAGCGTTTATAAATAATAAGTATATAAGTATATAGGTATAAGTATATAAGTATATAGTATATAAGTATATATATCCTATACTTATATACTTATTATGTCATACATAAATAAAGCGTTTCGATTGTGTCTAATTTACGGTTAAATCTAGTATAATTAACGTATATAAAGCGTTTAAATTTAGTCTAAGTAAACGTATATTATACATTTAGATCTTGATAGTTTCTTTGATTTTAATTAACGTAGTTTCAGTTTATTTAAGTTTTAAAACTAATATAAAATAAAATTACGTTATAACTTTTTAACTTTATATAAGTAATAAAAGCTATACAGGTCTTGAAATTTAAAAAAAAGATTTAGTTATAAAAGTAAATAAATTAATAAACATGGTATAGTTATAAAAGAGCTGGTTTTATTTTTTATATTTTTTATAACTATTATTATATGCAATAAACTTTTATCGTATACTACTTATATTTTTATTTTATAAAACTATTTGTAAAGTTAAAAAATTTTATAAAACTATTTATAAAGTTATAAATTTATATAACGTTTTTAAATAGTTCGGATTTAGAGAAAAAATGTTTATGCACTATACTTGTTTAAGTTTCGATATTTAAAAAAAATTAAATAATCAAGCTTTTTCGGTGGAAATTTTTTAGTAACAATTTCTCTCGAATATTTTTTAAATTTAAGCTCTCGATTATTGGAAAGATGAATACCTACTGTTACACAATCATACTAGCGTTTAAAAAATGAATTTAAAGTGTTTATAAAACTAACAAAAAAAGTTCTTGCAGCAGGACTCTCATAACGAGAGACCAGCAACTTATATTTTTTAACTGTGTCAATGTCGCTATCAATAACTTTGAATCAAAAAACATCGGAGTCCTTTGATTTGTTGGCATTTAGGAAGGTAGATTGTCGTGATAAGAACTTTTTAACTTCCATGAATTAAAATGGCGCACCCGACACGTTTATTATTTATTTATCAGTAGTTTTGTTTTCAGTTCTTGTAAGGAAGTGAAACTTGAAAATGCATTTAAGTATATTTTAATTAATTAGCCATTAAAAAATGATTTTTTATTTTGTTTTAATTAGGCCAATTTTAACCACATGACTTAAGCTATTATGTTAGTCTTCTGACCAATGACATATTAACATTATTATGCTATATTATAACATAAAAAATATTTATTAAATATCAATCAAACGTTTAGAATAACGACTTATATTAGTCAATATTGTAAACGTTTGATCAACGTTCAAAAAACGTATATATTAAAAGATTTAAAGCGTAGATTTTAAATCTATAAATGCTTACGTTTAATTAAGGTCGATTAAAGGTTTACAAATCAATCATCATTTTTAAGTCAATACTAGGTCGCTAAACGTTTTATCCATTTTTTGACCAATTTTGACTAAATAATGTTCAACTCTGAACCTATATGTGTTTACTGAGTATAATTAATTATATAAATGAAGAAAAATATATAAACTCTTTAAATATTTAAAGAAACTTTACAAATACAACCTTATTTTTGTAAAACTTGTTTAATAACTTTAAAAAAACAAACGATCAAACGACCTGGTTTTCTATATAATAAAAGCAAACAGATTTCCTTTAAAAATAAAATAAGTTATCAAGCGATCTTTTTCTTTAACATTCAACATTGAGTTGACCGTGTGAGATGCAAGGGTTTTGGTGACACTAACTTTATGAAGAGTTTAACGTTTTAACCTTTGAAAAGAGCATCGTCTTCTAGAGTCATTATCGTCTTCTAATTTTTTATTAAATACAATCGATTAATTATTTATAATTTTTTTTATTACATATTAATATACTTTAAATACAAAGGAATTACAATTACACTTTAAAAAGGATATACTTTAATACAAAGGACTTGAATTGTGTTATAATTAAAATGCATGAATTAAATATATTAATTAAATATATATAAGTAACTGACTTACTAATTTAAAATAACATAATTTAATACTAATTTAAAAATAACATTAGTCAATCAATAAAATTTTTTCGATCTTATTACTGATTAACCCGATATTACCAGATTTTAATGAATTAGTATACCTCATCGTGTAATTAAAAATATACAGAGAAAGAGCATGCTAAATCTTATTTTTAATAAATCTCCGTGTAAACGCGCACGAGTAAGCAGTATTAAGTTAATCAATAATATTTAGTGATTTTAAGTTATTAAAACAGTTTCTATATAAAATCAAAATTAGTTTTTAAATTATTTATCTAAACGAAATTTAAATATATATATATATATATATATATATATATATATATATATATATATATATATATATATATATATATATATATATATATATATATATATATATATATATATATATATATATATATATATATATATATATATTATATATATATTAATTATATAAGTTAAGAAAAATATTTAAATTCTTCAGATATTTAAAAAAGCTTAACAAATACAATCTTATTTTTGTAAAACTTGTTAAACAACTTTAAAAAACAAACGATCAAACAACCTGGTTTTCTATATAATAAAAGCAAACAGATTTCCTATATTTAATAAGATCAAATAGATATCTGAGATAAGACCGCAAGGACTTCTTGTGGCACCTAAAGAATATATATATTATATATATATATATATATATATATATATATATATATATATATATATATATATATATATATATATATATATATATATATATATACATATATATATATATTTATATATATATATATATATTTTAATTTTTAGGTGCTCCAAGAAGTCCTTGCGGTCTTATCACAGAGCACTGCGAAAGAGCATTTAATAGGAAGTTCACGCCTATCGTTTCCCAACTGATGTTGCAAAACTTGCCCAGAGGTGGGGTCTGAACCTCGGATCTTGAGGCAAGTGCGCTACCACTGCGCCACGGCTGCTCCTACATATATATATATATATATATATATATATATATATATATATATATATATATATATATATATATATATATATATATATATATATATATAAGCACTTATAAATAAAACATATATAAATATAACTTAAACTTCATAAAAAGTAGCAATAGCTGATATACAAGATGTTTTTAATAAAATTATAAGTGTATGTGTTTGTTTATACTTAAGTATATATACTTATATATTTATTATTTATAAAATTTGCAAAGAAGATCAAATCAACTTGTCGATATTGACCAAATACTTATATTGCGTTTATTCGAAAGATACTAAACACAGTCATGATCTGGCTGATATTTTGATTCAAAGAAAAATATATGAAAATCAATGTATTTATTGCAATTTATACTAAAACTTTTGTTGTAATATGCTTTCTATGCAAAAATAGTGAACAGATTCTTTGAAAATACAAATTAAATACCAAATGATATTTTCAACAAGGTTTTAAAAATAATTAAAAATTTTAAAAAAGTTATCCAATATGGTCTATCTTTGCTTTAAGAATTGTAAAAAGTTCACAGTACAATTAAAAAAATGTTTAATACTGTTTGAAAAATGATGTATTTATTTAATGTGCGTTTTAGAATGCTTTCAATGTACAAAAGTATATTAGATCTCTTTATTTTTGGCTAACTTAATTGATAGAAAAATGTTCGAAATCTATTGCCAATAAATCAAAGCTTGTTTTTGATAATATAAAAGAAAAAGTTGTTAGTTTGGCACACATCTAGTATATTTAGTTTGTTAAAATGGTTTAAATGGAAGAAACTGTGTAATAATAAAAAAGTTATAATAGCGAATTATAGTTTTTTTTTGTTAATATAATATAGCTTAATCTTATTTTTATTTTTGCGATGTTCATTTATCAACAGATTACTAAAATAATAACCTATATTTACACCAAATCAAAATGACTTCGACAAACCATCTTTTAATTAATTCTTAAACAATTAAAAACTATTTGGAGGAAACTGCAGCATGAATCACGAGTGGGTTACAAAAACTAAACAAAAACTAAAATGATGAAGTTAAAATTATTTATAAAAGACCATTTAAATTTAATTTGAATTTTACACATAGTTTCTTGCAATGAAAACAATGGCAACGACAATATTTCTTATATAACTTGTATAGTTTCTTTTTGTATTTTTTTAATCCTCTCAAGTTTATGAGTCAATCAATTTAATACGAGTATAAAAGAGATCCTTGCCTAAAAAAAAAATTACAAGGTATTTGTACGCGCTCAACGTATACAAAAGGATAATTTTAAGAAAGGAAAATGACAAAGTAAGTTTAATTTATTTTCGTGCGAATTTACTCTATTTACATAACCAAAATATTTTTTACTATGAACAGTATTTCCAAAGATCTCTTATGTCTACATATATGTAAGACCCTTACGCCCGAATGTAGGTATGATTCTTTCTCTAGATATAGTAGCATTTACGGTAAATACTTTGAGTAAATACTGTAACACATATTAGTAAAATAACAGATAAATCTAGAGACAATTAATTAGAGTAAGAATCTTACCTTTACGTGAACGGCATGTAATAAAGAATGTAACAAATGCGACAAAAAAAAAATTAAAAAAAAGAAAATATATAGGTATAGTTATTTCTAAAAAATTTAATGAAGTGATTCTTTTTAAGATAAAGTTATATTTTGTATGGAAAGGATATTTATTGTGCTAAACTATTTAAAAGAAAACTGTAAAAGCGAGAAATAAAATTTTACTGTTTTCATAAAAAGTTTTATTACCAAACACAACTTATGTTTCACTTTACCGTAAAAAAAAACAAAAAAAAACAAAAAAAAACAAAACTTTAAGTTCTAAATGTTCACAAATTAAGTTTTGTATTTTGATTTTTCGATATTTGATGAACTTTTAAAGTTAATTTTCATTTTATAAAAACATACTCACGTATAAAGAAAGAGATTATCTTAAAACTTCGGCCGAAGTCACTTTGCTGGAACTGAAGCTTCGGCTTCGGCAGAAGTAACTTCACTTTTGTACTTACATAGCTAAAATTAGCTATCTTGCAGATCTAGCTATCTAGAAACAATACTAATTATTGAAAAACAATATGTTTATATATATAGTATTCCAATTTTATGTATTATAACGCACAAGGTATTTAATTACCACCACAAATCATCAAGGTTTTTTTTAAATTACGCAATGTCATAGGATTTTAGGATGTAGCTATGCCTTGTTTGAACAAGTTTAATGTTAGATGGAAAAAATGATTTGCTAATTAGTAATTACTATTAACAAATTAGTTATTGAATCAGGATATGAACTTGTTTGATTTCTCATCTTAATTAAATATCAACTTAATTATATTAACTTATTAAAGTCTAAACTTTAAAATTATATTATAAACAAAGTTTAGTATACAGTAGTTTGTACTTTGAAGTATAATAAAATTACTATTTAGTTATTACTTATTAAAAATGAGGGAATTTATTGTTACTATATAGCAATTTATTAGTTTATTACTTTAAATTATTCATTTATTGGAAGAAATTAGGCAAGTTATAATTAAAAAGCGCAATATGTTCTCCATGCTTAGGCAACAGTCTGTTTCTTTTGGCTTCAAATATGTTTCTTGTTGTGCTGAATAGGCGTTCAATTTTAACGGATGAAGGAGGAGCGCACAAAACTGTCATTGAGTACATTTTCGAATCCCTCTTGTTAGTGTCTTTATCATAGTAGGTGTAATTTTTAGCACCCCATCACCTATAAAGGCATTAATTTTTTGGTAATGTTAGAAGGCTAAAGTAAAAGTTCACTTTGCTGAAACAAAAAAATATGAATCATAATTTAAAATTTAAACTAATATTTTACATCTTTAATCAAGTAACAAAAAAATAATATTCTTATTCAACTTATAAGCAATAAAGAATAAAATTTGGTTAAATATAAAGTGAAGAATAAATAATATATAATAAATTGATAACAAAAAATTAATTTTTATAAATCGTAAATAATAAATAGCAATTACATTTACTTAGAACTACCTCACCTACCTGTCTAGATGTTCTTTAAAGAGAAGCAAAAGAGTTTTTGTCACAGTTTTCAGTTTTCCTGAGTTTTCCCGGTAGTTCTGCTGGTACTAATTTGCACTGACTGATTCAGCGCAACTTTTCCCATCTGAGCATATTGTTTTATTAGTGGAAAAATGCCTTACAAATTTTTAACTTAAATCTAGTGTAGCTCGGCGGTTAACAATCTTATTTACCGCAAGAATCATGATATGTACACTGTGATGCACTTTTTTGAGATGGTTTTGTCAACTTGTTGTTGACATTTTATTTGCATCTTTACTGCCTCTAGATAAAGTCTTCTTGCAATGTGTGCACACTACTTTGCCAACATCTTCATCACTCACTTTTTAATAGTTCTATAAGGGATTTTTTTAATTGAGACAGAATATAGCACCTACCCCATTTAGCCACTGCCTAGAAGGTGTTTTTTTGGAAAACAACAAACACCCTGGAATTTGTTCATTGCAATATAAATAACAAGAAAAATATAAATTTAACTATGTTTAATTTATATTCAGTTATTCAATTAAGAAATTCAAATATTCACCTTTAATTGAATTTTTTGCCATTTTGACGTTTTTTACAGACTCGTTTATATTTTTCGTAGCCTTTTTATTTTTAAGGAATACTATTTTATCAACACTAAACAATTGGGAATATAATCAGGACACTTATTATTTTACATTATTCATAGCAAACTGTTTTTAATTAAATTGCACAAAAGTTTACAAAATTAGATATTCATTTCATAAAATAATCACATTTTTTTTCTTTCTCTTTTTAACTTTGGTTCTTTACCAGAATGAATTTGTGTCTCTTTTCTTGACCATAAACCTGCTTAGCAGCTTTGGAGGTTAGCTTTAGGGCTCTCTCAACGGATTGTGAATTGTTATGAAAACCAATTAGAAAAAGTTTTTGTCCAGATTCAAATGCCTCTCTAATTTTTTCTGAAGTTGCGCTAAGTGTCGCTTGTAGCTCAATCTGAATCTCATCAAAAGAAACAAGAAAATCCCAAGAACCAGCATCAAAATTTATTTTTATCACCAATTTTGGGTGAAAAAGAACACATTAGCAGTAGCATTTGCCATGGTTGCACCAATTCCATAAGGTATTACTACATGAGTCAAATAACTTTGTGATGTAGGCCCACTCTTTGCTGTAAATGTTAGATGATATTCTTCTTTAATTGCAGCAACAATGACTGGATCTCCATTACTGTTATACCTAATAGATTGTGTTAATGTAGACTTGTCTTTTTTCTATTAACTCCAATATCCTCTAGTTCTTTAACGTCAACTAAATGTTTAGAGCTTATGATTCTTATTTTTTCACCAAAAGTTTTTTTTCTGTTATTATTTGTGCTCTATTACTTTCTTTAACAATTCCATAGTTAATTAATACAGCTGTTGCCCATGCAGCTGTGGCAACGTTACTTATTTCAAACCTATTAACGACTTTTGTCAACTTTGTTAAATAAGTTTGATTTTTTTCAGCTGGTGTGGTTATGGAAAAGTCAGGATTTGTTTCTAAGTCATTTTTAAATCACTACCCGTATAATGATCACATTAAGTTTCTAGAGCAAGTGAGTAAGCAGATCTTATCTGCTCATTAGTTTTACGGTCTTACTTTCTTTTTTCTTTGGCAACTACTTTTTTATCAATCTTACCAATTTAAAATCTTCTAATAGTTACAATTTTCAATTTTTGATCTTTCAAATATTCTCTATCTGAAAATGGTACCTAAATAATTTAAAACTTTTTTTAATTGTAAAACATAAAAATTATAACATATGTTTAAGAAAAGAAAAGTTACGCATTTAACTGTACTTTTACAATTACTATACACCAAGTCAATTAAAATTGAGTATATTATATTTTACGAAGACATGTAAAATAGGGGTGTACAGGGTATTTTTGCCGGATTTGCCGGATATATATATATATGTATATATATATATATATATATATAAAAACAAAAAGTATAAAAAACAACAATTCAGTTTAAACAAAAATTACCGCAAATTATGACCTTGTTATTCCAATTATTAAGTTTCGATATTATAAATTATAACGACCCTCGTACCTAAGTTATGTGAATCACAAGTTTACTTAAGTTGATATCCCTAAATGAATGTTCTGAATCAAAAGTGAGTGTTCTGAATCAATTAACGATGGCAATGCTTCAAAGCATAGTTTTGCAGCTTATGAACAAACAGCTGATGTTCTGGGTACTGATAAAAACCTTATATTCAGATTTTACATAATCTTGGTAACATTATCTTATACATTTTTAGACTATATGTTCCTTTATCCATGGCATTACATGGCTCAATCTGTGCACAATTTATTGATGCGTCATAATTCAAAGCCTTACAAAGTATTGTGTCTTTGAATTATGTCATGTTCATTACATGACATAATTCAATAAATCAAGCCTTACATTATCTATATGCCTTGAGTCATAGGATGTTTGAGAGGCTAGAAATAAAAACTTCAAACTCTGTTCCAAAAAATTTAGCCAAAAAATAATGAAAAGAGCAACAAATACTGATCTGATCAATAGACTCCTAGTTTTCAATCATTTTTTTATTTTATCACTGCTTTAATCAAACTCACATCAACAATATATATATATATATATATATATACATATACATATATATATATATATATATATATATATATATATATATATATATATATATATATATATATATATATATATATATATATATATATATATATATATATATATATATATATACATATATATATATATATATATATATATATATATTTATATATATATATATATATATATATATATATATATATATATATATATATATATATATATATATATATATATATACATATATATATATATACTATATTATATATATACTATATTATATATATACTATATTATATATATGCATATATATTATGTATATTTTACATAATATATTATTTTGTTACATAAATTATAAAATAAACCCGCTTACCGAAAATAGTTGATTAATTATTTCCTATGCAAAAACGTTTTACATATAAAAAGTTTTATAAAAGTATTTTTTTAAACAAAAAACGGGCCAATCAGAACGTAACAAAGATATCGTAATTACGATACTGTGTATTAAAACTAATTTTGTTAGGTTCTATTAGCAATAATTATTTTTCATTTTCTTAAGCAAATAATGATTTCCTTATTAACAACCGATTGACGTCTTTTCGACCTCTTTTTTAAAGACGTCTTTTTAAAAGATATCTTTCCACGTCTTTATTTTGGCTGATCATAAAAAGACACAACAAGTTATAAAAAAGACGCCTTTTATTTGTCTAAAGATGTCTTTTTTCCCACTGGGGAGTAGTGAAAATGAAAATAGGTTTGCTTAAATATATCAACGGAAAGTAATTAAACATTGAACTTAAAAAAAAATACAAAAAAGCACCCATTGATTTTGATAAAGAGACAAAAAAATAAATAACAATATAGTTTGCGTCACGTCGCAATGTGTACCATGTATGCCTCAGCATACATGGTACACATCAACATTTCGATGTTACAGATGACACTTTCAGATAGGGAACTAAAATATCTAAAAAAGTTAGCTCCCCTTACCCTTTATATAAAAAAGTTAGCTCCCCTTAGTGATCTTTTTTTGGATTTAATTATACTAAATTTAATTTCACAGAAACATTTTAGATTTCAGGTAATAATCTTTTACCATTTAAAAGTTATGACCTTGTGAAGTTTCTGTTACATTTTCATAAGTTTTGAAAGTTACCATTCTTCGTAATAGCCACCCTCAATATCAATGCTTGCAGCATTCATTTTTTAAAAGGCACATTTATAATCCACTAATACATACAGCAAAAATAAGCGACACTTGTTTATTACTTCATTGTAAATCACAATTGCCACAAATATATATCAAGATAATAGATCTATACAATATCTATCATTTTTTTATTTTATCACTGCTTTAATCAGACTCACATCAACCGAATCATAAAACATTTCCTTCAGATCTTTTACAAACACTTAAAAAATATTTAAACGATATTATTGTTCTATAAACTTTCTATGTAATTTAAAATTGACAATGCTTTTTTGCACTATTTTTTATTTTTATTCTTGCTAAAACATTAGCTACCCAAATATTTAATAGTTATTCTAAATATTTGGATCAAAAATCCGATGAAATTTATTTGAAAACTAAATTACCCCTTTGTAACTAAGGAAGTTATCTGGTAACTGAGCAATATAAGTATCCATAAAAACTAAATTAAAAAGAATTTCACTTTTATTAGAAACGCGAACACATATTTGTACTCATGCCAAATTTCGTAAATAAAGCACTCGTAAAATATCTGCTTATATCAAAAACAGGTTGTTGCTGAGCAAAATATAGGTATCCATAGCAACAAAATAAAAAAATAATACTTTCATAAGAAGCGCAGACTTCATATTAGTGCTCGTGCTAATTTTAGTGAATATAGTGTTAATGTTAAACTAGTTATGAACTTTATCCAGTAAATATGAATTCTGCTCCACAGTACGTACGCTTCAAGCGATAAAAAAATTAAATTATTTTGTATTTTAGTATTGACCCAGTGGGAAAAAAGACGTCGAAAAGACGTCTTTAAAAGTCTTATTTACGATGTCTTTAAGACGTCTTTTTTAATCGATTATGCAAATCTGAAAGACATCTTTTTTCGACATCGAAAAGACGTCTTTTTTTATCTTAATCTGGTCATGAAAAGAGTTAAAAAATGCTCCTTTAAGACGCTTTTTTTTGGTCTAATATGCAAATCTAAAAAAGCGTTTTTTCTCGGGGTCGGAACGACTTTTTTGCCATACTTATTAGTATACTATAGTATCCTATACACTATAGTATTCCTACTTTTCTTATATGAAAAGCTATTTTTTTCAAATAAAAATGATAATAGCTCTTCATACAAAGTATGACAAAAAGCTTTTTCCGATGCCGAGAAAAAAACCTCTTTTAGATGTCAATATAAAAGAGGAAGCATTTTCTACACCTTTTATATATTTAAATATAGGAGAATAATTTATAAATAAAACAATAGTAATGTTCAACAAAACATTTTTTTATCCTTCTCTTTCTTTTCTGTTTCTTGGGCGAGCTCTGTTTCTTGGCGTTGCTAAATAAAATTAACAATTTCACGTCGAGAAATCCTTTCATACGAGCAGGTTACGACTTATAGCTGGTTACCACTTCTAAAAAATGAGTGAACATAAAAAACAGTCTATTTCTTAAATGTAATACAAAAAAAGCAAACGAAACTTGATTAGCTGAGTGAAGCACATTATACTTACCAACTATTAATTCAAAAAGGGCTGATCCTTTTAATCCACTCATGTTTCCAGCACGGTCCCTTCTTTTTGAATCCACTAGATTAGATTGGGGCAGGAGTTAAACGGTAAAAAGTCAAAAAATATATAAAAATGAGCGTGCTAAATAAATTTACAACCATCAAAATGACTGTACAAAGATGTATTTTATTATGTAGTACTTAAATCAAGCTAAACATTTGCACCTCTCAGATTTGCTATGAAAACCAAGTTATTGAAAACAGATATTGATATTTTTCTGTCTTCTATAACATGATTTTTTAATTGTATTTCGCTAAAATTAAGTGTTGTAGACTCGTTACAATTTAAACAACGTTCTTCAAGCACAAACATTATAAAATTAGTCTAAAAATAAATGCTTAAACTTTTTTAAAACACTTACCTGCGACTAACTTAATTGAGACTAGATCATATTGATACCATCTTACTGGCACCACGCCATCCACTTTTTCTTCTTCAGATTAACATTTGTTAGCTAAGCAGCTGCAATTGTATATTTATTTCAGTATATATATATATATACATATACATATATATATATATATATATATATATATATATATATATATATATATATATATATATATATATATATATATATATATATATATATATATATATATATATATATACATATATATATATATATATATACTATATTATATATATACTATATTATATATATACTATATTATATATATGCATATATATTATGTATATTTTACATAATATATTATTTTGTTACATAAATTATAAAATAAACCCGCTTTCCGAAAATAGTTGATTAATTATTTCCTATGCAAAAACGTTTTACATATAAAAAGTTTTATAAAAGTATTTTTTTAAACAAAAAACGGGCCAATCAGAACGTAACAAAGATATCGTAATTACGATACTGTGTATTAAAACTAATTTTGTTAGGTTCTATTAGCAATAATTATTTTTCATTTTTTTAAGCAAATAATGATTTCCTTATTAACAACCGATTGACGTCTTTTCGACCTCTTTTTTAAAGACGTCTTTTTAAAAGATATCTTTCCACGTCTTTATTTTGGCTGATCATAAAAAGACACAACAAGTTATAAAAAAGACGCCTTTTATTTGTCTAAAGATGTCTTTTTTCCCACTGGGGAGTAGTGAAAATGAAAATAGGTTTGCTTAAATATATCAACGGAAAGTAATTAAACATTGAACTTAAAAAAAAATACAAAAAAGCACCCATTGATTTTGATAAAGAGACAAAAAAATAAATAACAATATAGTTTGCGTCACGTCGCAATGTGTACCATGTATGCCTCAGCATACATGGTACACATCAACATTTCGATGTTACAGATGACACTTTCAGATAGGGAACTAAAATATCTAAAAAAGTTAGCTCCCCTTACCCTTTATATAAAAAAGTTAGCTCCCCTTAGTGATCTTTTTTTGGATTTAATTATACTAAATTTAATTTCACAGAAACATTTTAGATTTCAGGTAATAATCTTTTACCATTTAAAAGTTATGACCTTGTGAAGTTTCTGTTACATTTTCATAAGTTTTGAAAGTTACCATTCTTCGTAATAGCCACCCTCAATATCAATGCTTGCAGCATTCATTTTTTAAAAGGCACATTTATAATCCACTAATACATACAGCAAAAATAAGCGACACTTGTTTATTACTTCATTGTAAATCACAATTGCCACAAATATATATCAAGATAATAGATCTATACAATATCTATCTACACTGGGAATAAAATACTTTTGTATTTGTTTATTTTAACTTCTTTTAGACAAAGTACACAAAGATGCATACATAAATACATACATACATACATACATACATATCTTTTTTCAAATTTTACAGTTTTCTTAAACACTGCAGTTGTTAAAAATAGCAGTTATGCCTCCAGTGATTCTATAAACTCTTCAAGGGTTCAATTACGAAAGAAAAGCTAAATTTGCTATTAGTTTTGTAAATATGACAAGACCGTTATTCTAGCTGTCAAAATGTTCGAATATTTCTTTAAAAAATTAAAAAGTGTTAAAAAAAAATTTAAACGACGGTAATGCAACAGTTTTCAAACTAAGCTAAAAGAAGATTGAACTCTGTTTGTGTTAAAAGGTTACAAGTAAAAACTTGATAAAATGTTTTAAAGTGCAGTAGTCAAACAAAATAAACTAAGTTTGACTTGTTTATATAAATTTATTAAATGCTTTGAATGTTCATTAAACAATTTTTTTCACATTTGTTGCTTATTGGTATTCAGATATTTTGGTCTTTAAGACGCTGAGTATGAAATACCTGGTAAATAGTTAATAAAATAGCCTCACTGAAAAATTTGATCACATTTTAAGTATTTATCAAGCTGGTCCAGATAAATTTACAATAACTTAAAGTTAAAAAAGTTTTTGCATAAAAATTAACAAAACCTCTTTCACCATTACTGCACACAACAAATACTATATAATGGTTATTTCTAATGGTTGTTCAAGGTGGTTCCTATTAAAAAAAAAGATTAAGTTTTAGTCTATTAAATATAAAATATAGTATAATAAGTTTAAAAAAAGATTTAAGCTTTTTCTATCGGAATCACTTTCAAATTTAATTCATATTAGCTAAACCAATTCAACATAATGCCATATGAAAAACTATTTAAATAAGTTAATAACACTCACTAAACTAGATGAAGTTTTATTTGTTTAGTACATTAAACAATAATATTTATATTTTTATTTTTAGGGCAACACTGGCAATCTTTTTTCTTGCAGTTTTATTGGTGATTATCGAAAATAATGTTGCTAATAAAAGTTAGTTGATACTTTTTTTATAAGTTTGCTGGTTATTAACTTGCAATGCTGACATTCCACATTAATTGTTATTTTTTATACGTTATTTATTTTAAAATATAAAACAATAAAGTTTATTAAAAACTTAATAAGCTAAAATGCTTAAGTTTATTTTAAAGATCATAAATCAAAATAGTATAAATAATCTATTCTATAAATAAAAAGTTCTATAACTTAATATGGAATATGTTTTGCTTTTTAAGTAGTATTAGAGTTAGAAAAATATCTGGAAAGATTAAAAAATATATTTTTTAATTTTTTAATTTTTTAAGAAAAATTATTTAGCTTTCATGAAAAGAATTTTCCAATTTTTTTTTTTTTAATTTTAACATATTAATTTTTTAAAGCTTTTATTTAACTACACAAAACGACCAGTTCTTAGTTACGCCCTTAGAACGATAAACAGTTTTTTTTACCTTGATATTTACCTTAAAAAACAACAAGGTTTCTTTCTAAAAAGAAATTTATAAAAAAAACTAAAAATGTACATTTGTTAAAGGTGAACTGAAGGAACATTGCACATTCAATATTGCAGCATTGCAGTTGTACATTGAACATTGTAGTTTTTTGAAGCAATTTTAGTGAATGCTGTTTAACTTGATGTTATTAACCTTTTTTAGATTTTACCTCAAATAATTTAAATAATGAGTGCTTCAAGAAATAAAGTTAAAGTATCTAATAAGCAAAATTTTGGAGATAAAAAGAAAAGATTTTTTAATTAAAATTATTATATGCAGCAGAAAAACAACAGAAAAGCAGTTCGAATACTGTTGTGTAAGTGCAAGAAAGCTACTACCACAGATTAATAGAAATCAAGTTATAAATGACACTGTGAGTAAAGATTATTTCATACTTATCAAATTTTCATTTTTAATTGATATCGTGGAAAGTGTTTATGTCCATATTGTTGGAGTCTTATTACCATTGTTAATAATCTTTTTAAATGGATTGGTTTTGCCTCACCTTGCTATGGGTTTTAGCATGGGTTTTTGCCATCACCTTGAAATCAAGTGTAGTTTATGTGAATGGGAAAAAGTTTTATATTTTTTGTTTTTTTAAGTTTTTTAAGTTTTAAACTGAATACAGCCAAGGGTAGAAAAACATTTGAGGCAAACACAAGAACGATAATTGGATTTAGAAAAATAGGTATAGGGTATCAATCTATAAAAAACTTTAGTCGCTGAATGAATTTACACTGTATGAAAGCTATCCATTTAGAAAACTAAATATAGAAATATAAAAAGCTTACGATAAAACTACAAAAAAAAGTATGAAACGTGCCACAACTGAAATGAAAGATAACCATACTAATAATAATTAAAAAAAATAAAGCATGTTAAGACCAATGGTACATGGCAGCGAAGCGGCTATACCTCCCTTTATGGATTTGTATGTGCAATTGTGGGTGATAAGTGCGTTGATTATAAGGCATGTCAAGTTTTTGCATGGGCTGTAGAATATGGAAAAAATAAAAAAGCTTCACTATGACATAATGCTTGGAAAGCTCAACATACCTGTCATATAAATCATAAACAATCTTCTGGGTCAATGGAAGCAACTAGTGCTGTAAAAATATTTGCACTTTCAATTGAAAATAGTAAAATTATTTATACTTATTATCTTGGAGATAGAGATTTACTTTTAAAAAATTAATAAAATCTTATCCCTATAAAGATTATAAAATAACTCCTGAAAAGTTGGAGTGTGTTGCACATGTACAAAAAAGACTAGGTACTCGGTTACGAAATTTAATCAAAAGTTACAAAGGACCATTATGGATAAGCAACCTTTTAAAACCAGTTTTTAAAGATATATTAAATAAAGAGTTATTGGTAAAATGTGTATTGAGTAGACTTAAAATGCAAATGAAAGTCTTAATGCATTGGTTTGGTCTCATTGCCCTAAAAAACAGATTTATTTGTTAACAAACATTTGAAATGAGTATTAATTCAGCAATTTTACACTACAATAATGGTATTAAAGGTGTTTTAAATGTTTTATTCGGATTCTCAGCCGTTGTAAAATATTTCACGTGTAAAGAGCATGGAGATTAAGTCAAGTGGAAAGTTAAAAAATAGAATAAAAACTCTTAAAGCAATAAAAAAAAGATACTCTAATAAACAAAGTCAATATGAAACAACATTTTATATATCAGAGGGGTTTTAAACATAATGTATATATATTTTAAAATATTTTTCAACTTTCATTTGCGTTTTATTGAACTTTGATTTTTTGCAAGATTTTGTAACTTCAAAAACAAATATTTTAGGTTAGAAAAATTCTATTTACTTTCACTGTATCTTCAGCAGAGGCGCATTTACGGAGGGGGTGGGGTGTTCCACGATTTTAGTTGGCTAGTCCGGTTTGAAAATTCAGTCAGGTAAATTTTATTTTAAAGGAACTTTTTTTTTTAAAATACCAGTTGGATACTTTTTATAGATTCAGGCCCCCCCCCCCCTCTTATTTTATTCGTAAAATCGCTTTTATTCTTCAGTATACATATATTTTTTTTTATACATATATTTAAGATTTTAGTTCAAATATTCATTTGAACTAAAATCTTATAATAATTAAATGTATTTATAATAAATATAAGTATTTTTTTAGCGCATACATAATAAATGATGCATAGCTTTTATTCAATGCCATTATAGTTCAAATAAATAATCTATTGATAAAGAACAAACCTTCAAAGGTTCATTGTGATTCGTTGATTACGTTTTGTAATAATGTGTTTTAAAATTTTCTTACTTTTTGGTTTTTTTATATATAAGTATGGGTAGACGAGGAAATTTAGTATAAAAAATTGTTAGATGATTGTTAACATAAGTTAAAATTTTTTAAGAGGTTTTTGGGAAATAGTATTAGTTTTTTAAAAAATTAGGTTTTTTATAGTCCTACCTTGATAATATATTTTTAAAATAAAAATTAATAATATTTTTTGATGTTTTTATAATATTTATTAGAAATATGTTTTTTAACTTATAGAATATCACAACCGCCATCCGTCAATAAGACCTTCAAAATCTGGTAAATAATGTTGAATAATTTTACTCTCTCTCTCTCTCTCTCTCTTTCTCTCTCTCTCTCTCTCTCTCTCTCTCTCTCTCTCTATCTATATATATATATATATATATATATATATATATATATATATATATATATATATATATATAATATATATATATATATATATATATATATATATATATATATATATGTATATTACCATTTAAAACAACCATGACATTTATTTAAAACACCGCGACAATCAATTAAAACAACGGTGATTTTCAATTAAAACATTTAACGCATGCGCAATCTCAACATTCTATATAATTTTAAAAAAAAGGTTTTCTTTATATTTTTTTTATTCGATTTTTTAAAAAAGTTTAAAATTTTATTTTATTTAAAATATGTTTATTTTCCAATTACTGTCGAGGTATGTCATCTGACCTAAGACACGCTTCGAAAAAGCTTTCGCAGTGTGTGTAATAGTTTAATAAGTTAACATTAGGAATAGATAAGCATGCCTCACGAGTCTTGAAATTAGTTCATTTCTTCCAGCTGGGGCCGTATTTCTTTGCAAGTTATTCTTAAGATAAAAAAAATCTCTTCACACGGATTCAAGAATGGTGAATATGGTGGCAAATATTTTATTTGAATGTTCTGAGCCCTCATCTCAACATTATGATGGATTCTGACATTATTCATCACCAGGGTGAATTCTTCCTCTGTCCATAAAACTCGTACAACTTCATCAATATATTCTTGAAACAAAACTGTGTTGACTGACACACTGACAGCTTCGCAGTGAATAATATTTAAACCATTGACGGCCAATATCATCGAAACGTTACGTTGCCTAGGGTGAATGATCGGGTTTGGTGTTACTCCTCTTCTTGCACATGAATGACTGCGAAACATGTGTAAATTAAATGAACTTTCATTAATAAAAACAATATTTTGATAGCGATTAATAGGCGAGATTGAAGTATACCACCAAACTTATTCAATACGAAGATTTTTTACATCATTGTCGTTTCTTCTTTCATAAATTGGTCGAGTAATTCTATATGCGTATCGAAGATTGGTCACCCATCTCCAGACAGTTTTAATTGATACATAAACATTTAAAGCATATTTAATTTTAATTATAGTTGTCGTTGTATTATCGTTTATAAGCTCTTCAATTCTTCTTCTAATCTCTTCATTATAAATAACGTGACGAGCGCCACCTCTAGAACCAGGAAGTGTTGAATTCGTTCAATCGTACCTTCTTAAAATTGATTGAATTGTTTCGAATAACTCCTGTTAACGATGAAGCTTCAAATTGAGTTTTTGCTTGATCAACGACTAGATTTACAACAAGATCTCGCATGTTTTGGGAAACGGAAATTCGCGGCATGAAGATTCAGATTGAGTTTTTCGTGGCAATGAAGTTTCAGATTAAATTTTTCTTTGATCAACGACCAATCTCAAAACAAATTTTCACTTATTTTGGCAAACAGAATTTCGCTGCATGTTTTAATGAAAATCTAATATCCTCATGCGCTAAATATTTTAATAGGAAATCATGGTTGTTTTAATTATCATCATGCATGTTTTAATTGAACATCATGGTTGTTTTGCCAATACAGTATGTGTATAAAAAATATGTAAAAAAATATGGTTTTGCATCCCTTTAAAACAAACGTGACACCCATTCAAATTTAAAATAAATTCCATTAAATTAAAATAAATTAATATTATGTTAATTAAAATAAATTTATATAATATTATATAAATAAATATATAAAGAAGACCTTTTCTTTAAAAATAATATAGAATGTTGAGATTGTGCATGCGTTAAATGTTTTAATTGAAAATCA